TAAAAACTGTGGCTCTTGAGGGTCTCTGCAACTGTTAGAAGATTATGACTCGTGACTACTCAAACTAAGCCCAGCCTTCTCATGCTTATTTATGGACAAGTTCTTTTTTTTTTTCCCTAAACCTCTAGGTTATTGTTATTGCAGAACTTTAATCCAAGTTTTCCTTAACACACAATGCCTCTAACAGGGCACTGCTTCAGTTCAAGGTGAACTAGGCTGTTACTTCACAAATCTACATTCTCTGTCTGCTGCTGTGGGTGTGCGGCTGTGGCAAGGGAGAGGGACTTGTGTCTGGGGAAAAAAAAAGTAGTTAATCTGCTCTGAGAAGGCAATGAGACAAAATTGCTATGTTTCACACAGCTCTAAGATAAACAAGTAATAGCTCATGTTCAACAGCAAAGCATGTTCATATACCATGAATAGGATGGATGTGTTATATGATAAATCTAGACAGAGCGAATAAATTTCAGCTTGAAAAATAAGATACCACATGAGACAGCATGTGCAGAAGGAATGTTAATGTTTAGGAAACTGAAGGAATTGGCAGAAAGGAGAGCGCAGAAATGAAGAATAGATATTTTGCTTTGTTACCAGGATTGATTGTCTGACTACTTTTTTGTCTTTAAACCATAATAGCCTTCCCTTATTGTCAAAATGATAATATATATAAAGCACTTCCTGTAATATTTCTTTTCAAAAAGACCATTCATCAGTCCCAGAGTTAGATGCTCATATTTCAACTTACAATTTAGTTTAGCAAGTTTATACTTCAGAGCAATCACTCATGTTTAGCATTTGTATTTTTAATGCAAATCTCAGCTACTGGAGCACACCGTGTTCTTGGGTGGATATAGATTGACTAATCCAGGTAGCACTTTTATCTGCTGGCAAAGAAAGAGATTGCTGCTTTTCAGAGGAAAAGGGGGGTTCTTCCACTCCAGTGGACCAATTCATAAAGACACTGAGGGCAAAAGTGACTGCCCTCTGTGAGGCCCAGTGCAAGTGTGAGAATATCCAGTGATATATGTGTGTTTTGGGGGTGGGGAAGGAGTGGACATAAGGGCAGGCAAACACAGGAGCAAGTCCTCAGGCTTGAAACCAACTGAATATATGATGAGGGAGATGACAGCAAATGCCAAACACATTCTGGTGGGCTTGTTGTGCTTCAGTGCTGAAAAGTCTCCATTTACAATTTGTTCATCTGCATATCCCAGAATCTACAAACACACCACACTCTCTCTATCAAGCCTCAGTTGTTGCCAAAGCAGAAGTTGTCATTTGTGATGTTCTTGACTTTCTTGTTTGGTCAAATTTTCATGCTGCAGTAAATCACCTTCCCCTGTGCCCTAAGCATGACGTCGCAATGAAACGTTTGGCACCACCTGCTTAATAAACTGCGTTAGGAAATCATTAATCTCTGTTGTCTTTTCGTCACGCAGCTTCTCTTATCTCAGCTGCATATTTAAACTTTACCTACCACTGTGGGAGGTATTTTGGGGGAAGTAGCAAAGATTTCTCATATGAACTGACCATAGCAAATTCTCCTTCCCACTTCCATGAAACCATCAGGGCTCCTCCTTTCCTCCTTCCCGGAGGTTAAGTATCATGTAGTTCAAATTGCAGAGAGGCATTTGGTTCTGAGGAGTCTTTCTCCATTGTCAGCAGTGGCCATGGCCACAGAGCTGTCATGCAAAGCAGTCTGCTGTTCTGTGGGTTCCCCGGCTGGCTGCAGTAGGGAGGATGGAACAGCTGTAGTTTGGGAACTGCCTAAGAGAGGAGAAAAATCCAAGAGCCTCCTACAGGCCCCAACGTTCTGTCCTTTTGTACAGACTGACCAACTGTTACCTCTTTTTTTGGTTCAATCTTACCTTCTTGGCCATGGCTAGCAAAATACATCTCATGCTGTAAGTGAGTGTGTGTCTTTATGGAGGTTTTTTTTTTTCAGTTTATGCGCAGATGATCCTGTAAGTAGTACACAGTTACTCTGTGTTTAAAAAGCCACTAAATATTTTAACGTTATTAACTTGTAGAAACAAATTGCTGAAAGAACCTGACCAACTATGCCAATAATAACATGAAAGAGCTATGGCCAAACACAGCATAAAGTTGCTAGAGTGTTTTCCATGTGACGGTGGCAAACAGTTCTTGCCAGATGGGCTGATAATATAATTAGGATTCGTTGTGTTAAATGAGGCAGTATTTAAATTGCCAACTAATTTTCTTTCTATTAACCATCTTAAAAAAAAGAAGAGCTGTTACCCAAATTATTTCCAGCTGCTAATCTCTAACAAGAAACCTCACACTTCTTTGCACCTTTTTAAGCGCTGTCTAGCAAATTGCTTTCTGGAAGGGTTTATTATGTGTGGGACAAAATAAAAAAGAAGGGGAGTTAAGAGATTTTACGCATTCAGAGCTTTTTAGATGGGCTGCACTTCTGCAAAGACAGTGCATCATGATGTGTGCTAACAGCTCATGAGCCAGTAACGGGATGCTTCCTATTTATAGTCTCTAAACGTGGACGGAAAAACATTTTTACTTTGTGATAGTTCACTGTGTGGCGTACTCTATCAAGCAGAGTAGGACTATAAACCCTATTTTAAGTGTGTGCGTGGGAGAAATCATGAAAGCACAGCAGGACAAGATTTTGAACGGCATATGAATGTTAGTAATGTGGAACAATTGCTGTCTTTATTGGGGAAAGGAGAGAGGGGAAAAGAAAAGGGCGCTCTTGGGTCAAGTTAGAATCCTAGGGAAGGTATGATCATTTGTGGCTCTCCTGATGAACTCCTACAGAGCCAGCATCTTTGGTCTGCTGGCTTGTGCTGGGGAATTACCAATTACCTATCATGGGGATTTTGATTGAACCCCGGAGTACACATAAGGCTGAATGAGATTGATTATTGTATTTACAGAGCTAACTGTGCAGATCTTATTCCTTTTTTTTTTCTCTCTGCTTCAGCTTAAGCAGAGATGAAGAACCAAATGCATTTTTTGAGTCTCGTTTCTTGTGTCCAGTGACGAATCTTTATTGCTCGACCTAAAAGCAGTATCCAGTGGGAATGGAATTGGGCCCATTAACTTGAAGAACCGTACTGGATTTTTCCATGGATTAGTCTCTGGGTGGGGATGAAGATTATCACTAGCTCAGTGTAGGTTACCCAGGGAAGTGCATCAAAAGTAGCTGCACAGCAGGGCTGCATACAGGTCCTACGGTTGCACACCTGCGAAGGCTAGGTATGCTAAACCATGCAGAGAACTGCTTCAAAGAAATGCGTCATGCACTTTTATACACCTCATTTTTGTTTTTGTGTTTTCTGGAAGTTACCAAAAACTCCATCTGACCTCAATCAGGGAAGAAAAGCATTACGAAGTCTGAGCACAGTCAATAGGGTAGTAAAATCTGTCTCTGCTGGTGGATGCTGTTTGCCTCAAAAATTGAATGATTGCCACTTTTATCACTTTTCCTTGAAAATGGGGAGGAAGTGGCTTTCTGAAAGCACTGTGCATAGCTGCAGGTTGTTGATCACCAGGCAGCTAAATGAGGTGTAGCTAATGAGCAGTGTTGATGACGTTGCGCTGATGCTGCGCTGATGCTACTCCCTGTAACGAACAGATGGGGCCAGTGCTTCAACCACAGCTTTGCTGTGATAAAGCTTCGCTGAATGAAACAAGATGACAGATCAATAAACGACTATCTTCTGATGTTGAAATACAACAATTTTCAGCAATGGAAGCCTTAAAAATTAAAGACAAACTGGTAAGGTCGTTACTGGGGCAGGACAGTGCGCAGTAAGTACTATTTGATGTTGGCTCTAAATCAAGCATTGGAAAGTTTGAGGGATCCTTGAAGTATAGACAAGGAGTTTAATTTCTAGTTGGAATAAATCATTGCAACTATATTTTTTCAGCATCTCATCCCCTTTGAAGCAGAATAAAATATTTAAATGCATGGCCCAAGGAGACTTCTGCTTCCTTGTAGACATATTTCAGTGCTTCCAGTAAACGGTTTTTGATTTCTTTTTATGAGCAGAGCTTAATGGCACATGGATGGAGTGTCAACTTTCCTGTGTAAGCTGGCACGGCAGAAGTAGATGTACCTGTCTTGCTTGGTATCTTCATTAACTTCTAATAAGCACACTATTTCTGTAGTAAATGTGTAAAAGAAAATAATCTCCAGGCATAGTAATAGGTGAAAAACCTATGTTCCACAGCTTTCCCTTCAGGGGAAAGATGGGTTTTTACGTCTTCTGTCTGCTTTCTGATGTATAGATCTGAAATTGAACTTGGAATCAACAGTAAAAAATAATAATAATAAAGAAAGAATCCCTAGGCTTTCCTTTTGTACATTAGAAGTCTAGAAAGTGAATGGAAAGTATCATAGTTTGTGATGGTTTTTAATGCTGTGCACATGATCAGTCAGCTATCTTTGGACAGGTTCTCCTTCACAGCCATATTCAGCTGTGTTGCTCTGGTCCTGGCTTTCGCAAAATCAGACTTCATCTGACGCTTTCTGACAAAATACAGTGATCACTAAATAATCAGCTCTAAATGACAGGAAATGATTCATTTTAGATGGCTGCAATACATCCAATAAACTGCTTTGCGTGTCTGAAAGCTCTGATTCATGATCCCTGATGCTTCATGGGGAGGCAGTGCAAGAGGATGCTACCGGCTCTCGCCTCTGCCTCTGTATTGGAGTCTACTGTCCCCATGGCAGAAAGACAGAGATGGAGAGAGATGTCCACTCTCTGCTGTAACAGTTCACAGCTCAAAGAACTCCGCTGAGCACTGATTTCAGTTTACATCAGTAAGCCAGGCTGCACAATGCAATGGTGGGTGTGTGGGCAGTCTGCGTATTTGGCTGTGTTTCCTAGGGCAGTGGGACAGGAGTCGCTTGCTGTCCTGTCATTCGCCCGGAGCAGCAGTATTAAATTGCCAACACACTGCATGAATAAAGCAGGCCTTGGTGGTGACAGCAGGAAAGTGGTTCCTAATGAGACATGAAGGCGCTCAAGAAAATTCAGCCTGAAAAGGTGAAGGAGAGAGCGAGAGACGCTGCGAGCGCCGTTAAGTTATACCCGCCCCAGAAGGATCCGCTGATCAGTGGCGCTATTGTGGGGACTACAATAAATCTGTGTCCCCCTCGGCTGCCTGCATCTCATTAGGCACAAGCGGGCGGCCGCAGAATGTCACCAAAAGGCCATGCTCCCCCCCGCCGGCATAGGCTGGGCCAGACGCCCTGGCTTGGGGTGGAGTTTTTGTGTTGGTTGGTTGGGATCTTTTTAAGTCCTCCTCCACGTATGGTGTCATGCATCTTACTGAAGCTACAGCCACACCTGCATGTGTTTATGCTGCTGATGTATAGTGCCCATTCCTAAAACATCACTGACTGCCCTATGGATGCTAATTAATTTAAGCCCTGCAGCAGCCCTTTGAGCGACTTCTGTTGGTTCACATAGATGCACACATTGTGCATTGCAAAGCTGCTCTTTGCTATGTATTTTTAAAACATTCCTCTCTCAGAGATAGAAAAAAAAATGTTCTTTGTTGGGAACTTGACAAAATGTTAGGGTTGGACTCAAGTCACTGAAATGTTAGGGTTAGTCAAGTGTTAGTCAAAGTCAAATGTTAGACTCAAATCCAAGGCTCGATGGGGGCCACTGCAGTGGTTGTTCTGAGCTGGATGCAAACTGTGGTGCGCCAGGCCTGGTGCCTTCTTCCCTCGCACAGGAATCATAGTCAGTTTAGGTCAGTCTGAAACCACTGAAAGAGGCAAACATCTGTTTCCAGCATCTGCTTCTGCCATCTCTTTGGAAGTTACTCTCTGACCTGACAGATTACAGTTTTGTCCTGTTGTTTTGTTGTTGTTGTTGTTTTGGGGTTTTGTGGATTTTTTTTTTCTTTTTTTATGGTAATGGTAGGTCAGGAAGCTGAGTTGATTTGCTGTACGGCCACATGAGAACTAGAGCTAGAGTTTGTGCCAAAAAGCCATGGGAAGCATCCAGCCAAGAGCAGAGGAAAAAAGATGTGGCCACTGCTTTTGGTAGTAGTGTAGTCTGTGACTGGCATAAATTATCATTGAGGAACACCCTCCAGCTGCAGTTCCAAGGTGGCTTAAAGCCAGCACTGCCGCTGAAAGCAGTGATCCTGCTGCTGTGGTCACCTGGCCTGGGAAACTGGGCCAAATGTGGAAAGAGGAGGAGAAGGGGGACAATTTGTGTGTGTGTGTGTGTGTGTGTGTGTGTTTTTTTTTTTCTTAGGCAATTTTTGGCCTAAATCACCTTCCCACTTAACTGAAAGAGTGACCCACTTTTAGGCCATGTCTCAATCGGCGTTTTTCACGGGGCTTAGCAAGGCGTCAAGGCAGGGCAGGCTGCGGCGGGGGGCTGGGCCTGGCAGCGAGCTGTGCGACACTGCGATGCGGCCCAAGCCACCGCGCTGCTCCGTGTTTCCTACAGCTTCTGCTCACACTCAGTCCGCTGCACGGAAACCTCACAAGCTCTAACGCAAGCAAGGATTTAAACACTGCAATTCGGTGTGCGTCCCAGGGCAGCCGCATTCCTGAGACACAGGAATTGGGCCAACAAGAAACTTGACATGATCATGAGCTCAGTTGCTGTGTGAATGCAGGGGTTGAGGGTTTTCACCCTTCCCTGAACGTGACTGTATTTCATTATAATCAGCTATTTAAAGGTCACAGCAGCATAACTTTCCCAACAATTACACTATTTATTTTCCATGGCAATATTTTTTCTGCATTTTTTAAACAGAAGGTATTTGTTTGTTTGCTTACCTGAATATGAAAACCACCTCTCCTTTCTTCTATTTTGGCAGTTAAATATTCTGGTTGACACTGGAAGCAGTAATTTTGCTGTAGCAGGTGCACCTGAGGCTGATGTCACCTCCTACTTCAATCCAGAGCTGTAAGTACCTGTTTTGCACACCCTGATGGGATAGGATGTCTTGTAGATTCTGACTGCTTGTAAAAGTGGATGGTAAGGCAGTTCTTGGGACTTCTGTGACATCCTGTGAGAGTGATTCACCTAATTCAGTGAAACTGAATGAAATGATGATTAAAGCTGGGGAAAAAAATAGAGAGGAAGAGAACAGAGTAAAAATCAGATTCAGCTAGTGTGGAACATTTGTAAGCCAATTAGTCTTAAAGAAAGTTAAAATTCATATTATTTTTGTTTAAAAGTAACTAATTAAAAAGCATTAATTGATTTTGTTACTTGACAAATGAGTTTGTCCAAAAGCAGTACCAGTCGTTCTAAAACTAGTTGCTGTTTAGTCTGGTCAATGACCTCCATCAGTCAGCAACCCAGGCAAGATCCTGTGCTATATCTGGCTGTTTATGCTATCTGACTTACTTACTGGCTTTGGTGCCTGCTATGCACAAGATTTTCTGTATTCAGCATGAACTGGCATTAGTCACAATGAAACACAGCTTTTCTTACCTGGATCATTCTCCCTTCTTTCTACTTTCCTTTCTGTCTTCTCTAGTTTCGGTTGTTCTAGGTAAATTTCTTCAATGAAAAGAAGTGTCTTTTTCACTGATGCGTATGCATAAAGATGTGTAGAGGACTGAGAGACTGGAGAGCACTTCCATTCTTGTTATCTCTTTATATATTTTAGCATGAACTTTGGCTTTATTTTTTTTTCTGATAAGATGCACCAAGAATGGAAGAAAAGCCATTAAAAGACAGGCTTTTTAGAGTAGCCTAACTTCCTGTCCAATATTCACATGCTAATGGGGGTGCCTCACAGCTCCCCCAGAGATGACATAGGCCTGTAAAGTCCAGAACTTGAATTTGAAGACTATTTCTGCATGTCTGCAGAGTTTTACTATCCCTTTCAAAAGGGATAGTAAAATGCATGTTAACTATCCCTTTCCAAAGATAGTGGCTATGAGAAAACTTAATTGCCAACAAATAAAAGCACATTTTTCCTTCTCCCCTTTCTCTTCAGTGACGTTCTTTTGTGTGTAAAAATGGAGCTGAGAAAGGCTGCACAAATCACTCAGAGGTTACAGAATTATATCAGTGTTCCCCGTGTGGTGTGTTTTGAAAACTTTGGTATGAAATTAACAATGAAACCTTGAAATTTAGGCCCTGAGAAGTTAAGAATACTTTATCAAAAGATTCCGCAAAACTCAAGTAATAATAACCGAGAGAAGCAATTGTTAGTTTGGGTTGGACTGATGGAGAACTAGGATGTGCTCAGAATAAAGTGAAGCCATTAGCATGCATGAACCTGTCTGAATCCTACTTCTTCTGTGTCAAATACTTTAAGCATAATCGTCATCTAGGAAAGATCTTGGCCCCTCCAAATGGATGAGTGATTTCACAAATGCTTTTTGTAAGGAACCTCTACACATCATCTCGTACAAATCCTCACTGAGGCAGAACTGTCACCCAGTGAGATCAACTGTGGCTTCATCCAGCCAAATTCTGTTAACCTCCAAGGATAGTGAATCCATGATCTCTCTGGGCAGTGTGTTTCAGCGCTACAGTGCTCTCCTGGTGAGAAAGCATTTCCTCACGTCCAACATAAACATCCTAAAGTGTAATTCATGGATGTTTCCCTTTGTTTTATTATGGCACTACTGAGAAAAATGCGGTTCTGTCATCTTTGTAACTATCATCAAGTACTCGTAGATTATTATTACATCTCCTGTTAACATCTTTTTTGCAAAACTGAAGCTGAGCTCCTGTCAGCCTCTCCTCACAAATCCTGACCTATTTCATAGCTCTTTCACTTCACTTTCACAAAGCTCTTCACTGCTTTTGAACTGGGTTGTTACAAGTGGGCACAGAACTTTGGATGCTGAGCAGAGGAGAGTAACTAACTTCCTTGGATACATTATCCATGGCCCTACAAATGCAGCCCGCATTAGGGTTTGCTGTATGTATAGAGCAACTACTCTGCTGGCTCTTATTCAGTGTGATGTCCACCATAACTGCAAGTTATTTCAGTTGCTTTCCAACCTGTCCTAGAGCACGGAGTTGTTCCACATCAGCTGCATAATCCTGTGCTTCTTGCTGGATGACATGAGTTTACCTTTGGCCCAGTCCTCCCATTTTTCATGGCCCCTCTAGAATGAAGCTTTGCCATTCAGCATGTTAACCATTTCACTTAATTTGGTGACTTGGGCAAGTCTGCTGGGGGTGCATACTGTCCATCCTCCAGGTTGCTGAAGATGTTAAACAATTTTCTCTCTGGTAACTGTGCCTGGAGAACTCTGCTTATTACTCTGCCACCTCAACATTGTGTTTGGTTGGTATCCTTTGAGTCCAGTGGCCCAGCCAATTTCCAACCTACCAAGCAGTCTGTTCTTCCAGCCCCAGCATCCTCAGCTTCCGAGTGGGAATGCTGCAGGAGATGATGTCAAAAGCCTTACTAAAGCTGGGATGTTCTACAGTTCCTCACCCATCATGCATCTAGCCAGTCTCTTGTAGATGGCAGAGAGTCTTGACAAGGATTATTTGCCTGGGAAAAAAATCCTTGCTTTGTTTTCCTGATAAACTTCCATCCTTCGCATGCTTGGGAACAGATTTATTCTCTGTGATTATACCTGAGCTGAGGTGAATCTGAGTGGCCTGTAAAAAGGGTCCTTGGACCCTTTTTTTTTTGTGAGGGGCAATGGGCCCAATGAAACCTCTTCCTCAGTAGTCAGGGATGTCCCCTAATTGCCATGACTTTGCATAGATGATAGACAGGCACCTTGCTATGACATTGGTCAGCTATGTAAAAAGACTTAAGAATGATCATTACCATGTGTAGATGAGATGAAATGAGCTACACTTTTCCTCTGTGGTATGTGGAACACCTCAAAATCATAAAGATGTCTCCTCTCATTTGGTAAAAATTCCCACAGTTTCTCTGCCATCATCATGAAGTGTTTCCATATCAAGGTCATCAACAGCAAATTGAAAGCAAGACCAAAAAAGGATTAGTAATTTGTTAAATTAATAGAACTGTTAGGGCAGGCTTATAGATGTTTCCTTATTAGAATATTAATATTGTATTAGCGAAACACAGTGATGAGTCTGAATTTCCTAATCGTGAGCTGGTAAGTTAATTTCAACTCAAATTATAGTAAATTACATGCATGATTGATTTTGGACTGAAATTAAGAAGTTTTTGCACAGGAAAGATGTTAGCTGTTTCAGAGTTTCAAGAAAGATGGAGAGGGTAGGTTACTGAAAGAGTGCCTTTCCTGTGCAATTTAGGGACACAAAGCCAGTTAACTAAATGATGTGATGTGTGATGCTTTTGTATCATATAATTCCATTGTTTAGTTATCTGGATCTTTGTGCACAAACCAAGTAAAACTGTTGTCATTTCTTTAATGTCAGTGGCCATATGTCTTTTCTGTTCGTCTGGAATTAATTCATTACTTGGATTTGTGAGTTGTTCTGACAAATTTTGCTGTGAAAAGTTCTAAGATCATCACATCTGCTGTGACGATCATGGCCTATAAGTTACCATCCTATATAAGGTTTTTGGTAATGGCATATTTTTCTTTTTAAACTGAAAAGAAAAAAATCATAGTTTCTGTTTCTCAAACTGTTCAAAATAACAAGTAGTTTTTGTGGCATATGCTATTTATGGTTAAAAAAATATTTAAACTGATGTGTAAAGCTGTTTTCATACTTGAAACTAAATAATCTTTGATGGTGCAAGTATGTGAATGAAAGAAATACTTACAGGCTTGATTTCAAGCAACAGTACTGTTTCACATAAATACCACTGCCTCATGAGCAAGTTTCAAGAACTATCTGCAGTTGATCATTCTGTGAGATAAAAGAGTAAAAAATTATGAGTAATTGAGATAATACAATAAAGATTGTATGAGCAAACAAAAGTAAGCCCTCGTTTGCAGTATGTTCATGCAAATTCGTTGTGGTTCACTGTACAGTTATTTTTGTTTGGGGTGAATAGTAAACTTGTTTCGGAGCCCCTGCAAATTAGGTGAGACTTCTTGGTTAAAAATCAGTAATTTATTTTTTGGAATAGTTTTCAGACAACTAGGTATTTGGCCTTGAATTACTTACTTCGTGTTGTCTATCATTATTAAGATTATTAAGTTTTTTAAGTCTATCACTTTTTCTCTCTTCACCTTTGCCATCTATGCAGACATTGATTTGCTGCTTAGGAAAATCTGGGGCGACAACTGAGCTGGGAGAGAGTGGAATTAAGAAGGAAGTCTTTTTTGTTGTTGTTTGGTGGGGTCACCCAGGACTTTGGCAGGACTTTCTGCATAGGGGATTTACCGTTCCCATGTGGAACTTCCTTCGAATGCAGAATGGTATTAGAAATAACACTGTGCCTGTGTTCAGTGCTACCGTCAGGTACGAAGGAGTAACTGAGTGAGAAAATGAACTTGCTGCTAGTTATCTCACTTGAGATTCAAGAGGTTTGAGGTCTAAGAACCACTGGAAGGTAGTGACCGGTCAGGAGAGGGAGAAAGGATTAGTGGTACAAGAGCACTGTAATCTCTTAGGCCCTTTTCTTTTCCTGTGGTATAGGTACACTCTTGCTTAGATTTTTTTTTGTGCTGTGTGTTTCTGTTTTAGAACGCTCAAGCCATGAATTAGAACAAGTCTCTAGTTTCGACCTCCAAAGAAGTTTTCTTTTGGATTGGTCAGGTGGACAAACATGTGCTGATTACAGTCGAGAAGATGGAGCAGGAAATGCTGTTTTTGCAAAACAGAATATAATTACTGTCATGAGAATCATGTGAGATCCTTTCCCATACCAGGAATTCCTCTCCTTGAAGTAAATAACAAGGTCTGCTTTTAGACAGGACTTTTGTGCGCTTGATGACTGTCATCCTACCCATTTCTACCGATGGAGAAGCTGAGGCACAGAGGGTGACGAAGAAACTTGTCCTGTCTTTCTATAGCTCACAGCAGTACTGGGAGCTAAACCCGGTCTTTCCATGTGCTCTTTCAGAGCCTGGTGCTGTTAGTGCCAAGAGAAGAGCTTTGTGCCACTTCCCTTGCTATTCATGCGGAGTTTGTAATTCCCAGATTTGCTTCACTTTATTCTCCCAGTTCTCCCCTTTGTCTCTCATTTTAGATGTTTCTTCTTCTATTGAACATTCAGACACTTTTCTTCATGAACAGCCCTGTGTTTTCCCTTCCTTTCTGCTGTCCTCTCAGTTTCTATTATGTAGCTAATTATTCAGGCTCTATTTGAATTATAAAATGTACTGTCAGACCTTGTCTTAGTATCACAGTGGTGCTCTGAAGACTCAGACTGAGCAGCAATGTCCCTGTGTCTAGGTGTCATACAAACGGCAGACTTTTGCAGAAAATTTAAAGGGCAATAGCAAAAGCAGTGACTGGTACAAATAATAGCAGTATCTCCGTAATTCACTCCTTTTAAAATATAATCTCTGTGGCCTGTTGCCTCATTTGTTTCTGCTGTCTAGGATGCTTTAAGATGCTGGCTCGTGAATCCCTTGAATGGTTAGGTGCTGGAAATATCAAGAACTAATTAGGAAAGTAGCCTGGCCTTTTATTCCTTATCTCCCCCACCTCTGCATCTAGAAAGAGTTGGCATAGCTCATATGGCCTAACTGTTGAGTCAAAGTGTGTTCAAATGAGTTTGAAGTTGCCATATTGCCACTGAAAGATTATCAGCCCTGTGATAGGCATTATCACAGTAACTTTAATCTGGTGAGCTCAGGTGGAGGTGAACGAAGCCACTGCAGTGTGTGCTCCAGGATGAGCTGGCTCCTCAAGTCAGTCCCTGTCAGCAGGCCTGAATCGCCTGTGCTCTAACTTCCATGTCTCCATGGCTGTTTCTGTCAAAGCAGCTCTTGGGTTAAAACTGGCTTCCTGCACTGTAATCGCCCACGCTTGTATTGTTTTACACACGTGTAAAAGATGTTATTATGAAACTACTTTAGTCTGCTGATTTTAAAATTTACTTTTACAAAGGCTGTCAAGCTACAAGCCTGTTCTGATGAACCAAATATTTTCATTTGTCTATTTAAAAGGAGAAACTGCGTGCCAAGTGATGTGACCCAAGTTAGTTTACAAGGAATGTAGGAGTTCTGGAGTGGCATGCATTCCGGAGGATTGATATGTTTATACTACAGATTTTAAAATTAAAAAAGCTATGGATTACTTTTTCTGATGTTTTTATTAAGCTTTCCACACAACATTCTCTTTAGTGTGCCATACTTAATTGCTTTTTTGCTTTTGCTGCTCTGATCCATTGGGGACTTTTCCTTTCCTTCTACCCAGTTTGTTGACAATCATCCTACAGACATTCGTTTATTATATCCAATTTACTTCATTGTAGACAAACCGAACTGCAGATTGATAAGACATGTATTAGTGCTGTTGCTCACAATAGCAATCCAGTTTATGCAACATGCAGTTTTAATAATATCAATGAGGTGTTATTATAAAGCTGTTCAGTTAGCTTGGCATTTCAGTTTTAGACGTGAATTCAGAAGCTTTTCAGTTCCTTAGCATCACTTACTACATTCCATTCCCATTTTAATGGGAGCTGAGTCAAGGATGCATTTCAGTAGATGGCATAGTACTACAGATTAAAAAAAAAAAGACACATATTGTGAAGATTTGAACAGAGGCTCAAGATTTTTTATTATCCTTTCTTGCTGCTCTTACAGTCTTTCCCATTGCCTCTGTGAGTATATGGGATTGACTTTGCAGGCTTCACTGTTTTTCCCATGCAGGGAAAATAAAGACTGAACAGTACTTGATTGTCTTGCATTGCAAATGAACAGCTCATGCATGAGTGTGTCTTTTCCTTTTAAAGGTCAAGTACATATAAGTCTCAAGGAATTGATGTCACAGTTAAGTACACTCAAGGAAGCTGGACTGGAACGCTAGGTACAGATGTCATTACAATCCCGAAAGGAATCAATGGCAGCTACACTATCAACATTGCTACCATTTTTGAATCAGAGAATTTCTTCTTGCCAGGGGTTAAATGGCAGGGGATTCTTGGTCTTGCCTATGATGCCTTAGCCAAGGTAAGTCATCCTTTCCCCAGCTTTTGTTTTTCACAATGACAATAAATAGAAATCAAAATTTTAAGGTAAAGAAAACAAATGATTTGTCACTGTTGGACTTCTCCCTTGCAATCACTCTTTACTAAGGACCTTTTCTGTTTGATAAATTCAAGAAAGAAAAAAAAAGAGGGGAGAGGTGTGTGATGATACAGGAGTCCCAGATGAGGTGCTCAAGTTCTAGCTCATCTGGAATGAACAAGCTTTTATATAGCTCTTCAGAGTACCAAAGTATAGGAGTAAAGGTTACCAGACTTCTATTACATGTGTGCAGGGCATTTATTACGGCTCTAAATAGCTCCCTCAAGACTTGTCAAAGGACTGATGAACTTATCTGGCAAAGTCCCTGGCAGCTCATTCTACAACATTCTTCATACATATAATAAAAGTTGAGATTGAGAGCACATGAGGATAATTTCAGAACAAACATGAGCCATGGTGTTTTCATGAACATGTAATGAAACGTATCTGTTCTTAGGGAGGTAGCAAATTCAGGGATAAGTCTAAGTTAAAACTTTAAAATTCATAATCTAAAAATAATTTTTGTCTAAAACTGAAAATGTGACTGGAAGCCATGTAGTTGTTGCTCTCAACCTATGCAATAACTGTTCAAAAAATCCATAAATGGAGACATATGCAGGTAGAACAAGCAATTCAATACTATCTCCTTACTCTAGAGTTAAAATGCTGTATTCAAGAGCTGTGTGATCATTGTATTGACTCCTGCCTTACTTACCGTCATGCATTGTCAGAGAATAGCTGCTTATCAAATTCTGGTTCTGGCAAACAGTGGCATTTATTTTTCTCTCTTTCTGAAAACGGAAGCGTTTTAGCTTCTGATGCTGCTTAGTACTTTGTGTAGTAAGAGCACTTAGCAAACTAACCGGTGTCTCTACATGTCACAACATATATCTGCACAGAAATCTGAATTACAAAGAAATCGTAATACTTTAATAACTGCAAAGGCAAGCATGGCATATTCTGTAAGAGAGAAACTTGTTAGCAAATATGATCAATTGAAGTGAGCATGTTTTTATATTGTGTCTTTTAAAAGAAAGAAGAGGAAATAAGTGCTGTTGAATACCAAGTTTATTAGAATATTCTATTTTAAAAGTTGAAATTCCTCCCTATAAAATTCTGCCTTTTAACCACAGAAAGGTGGAAGGGGAATTTTTCACTGGCCTAATAACCCAAAGCTATTTCCAAGCAGCTGCATTCTTGGCAGAAGTTTCTGCCTGAATCACCTGTAACTTGTATTTGAAAGCTGTAATTAGAAAATACTGTGAGGAAGTGGTCAAGAATAAAAATATTTTAAAAAATAAAACAAGAAGTGTGAGGTTTTTTATAACATTATATTTATGATCATTATCACTTCATTGTGAGAAATTCAATTTACTTCTGCAGAGTGGTCGTGTTTGAATGATTTGCTCTTTTTGTTTTGTTTTTCAACATCCTCAAGCCTTCAAGTTCTGTGGAGACGTTCTTTGATTCTCTTGTGAGCCAAGCAAAGATTCCCAATGTCTTCTCCTTGCAGATGTGTGGTGTTGGACTGCCTGTTTCTGGAAGTGGTACCAACGGAGGTAGTCTTGTGGGTATCTGTCCATCTCAGAGGGAGAATGTATATTTGTTAATCTCTCCCCTATTACTAACGTACTTTTTCCAAATTTAATATTAGATATATTACATGCTTTCTAATTTTAAGGAAAAGGTCAGCATTTAGGCAAAA